TCTTCTGCTGGCGGCCGGTTATCAAACAGCGTTGCATTGCTGCGGTCGCTCCCTTCTGGATTGCACAATTGGTGGCTGACTAAATACTTTTTTGCCCCACTGTAATGATACTGATAAGATAGCAATACTACAATGAATTCTACTAATAACAATATAAAACGCACTAAGGATCAATGAGCTGTTGAGTTCATGAATATTAATCACGTTGCCTGTGTTCACTCGAATGGATTTGCTGAAATCAACACAGGGATGATAATGAGATTGCCAGCCAATGAGATTGTCCTTTGCGCATTAGTTCCGCCCACTACCGGAGAACCCGGCAGTTCTTAAAAGCTGAAGAATTCCAAAGGAACGCTGTTATTTTGACAGGAAAATACAACGAAGTATATCGTTTACATGTAGTGCGTTTATTCTACATGTTATGTAAGACTCTCTCGCTCTGTCTCTCTCTTTGTGTGTGTGTGAGACAAAGCGACGGCGAGTCGTGCGTCTTTACACTAGAGTTTACGGTACGTCAAATACAGGTGCGCTGCACATCCATTCAGATGAACTGAAAAAATAGCACAGATCGCTTGAAAGAGAATAAAACTCTAAAGCGCTCAGTCAGAGTTCGGCGAGTGAAAATATATCTGTGCTAAATAGGGGTGCAACGGTTCAACTTACTCACAGTTCAGTTTGTATCGCGGTTTTAGAGTCACGGTTTCGGTACGGTTCGGTATGTGCTATGTTTAGGGAAAAAACTATATTGTCAAATAAAAATAAAGAAAATAAGAACAAATAATCTAACTACAAGCAACAACACAAATACATAAAGAGTGAAAAAAGATACAAATAAAATAAACAGTGCTTTTCAGTTTTTTTAGGTAGGTCTAACATAGTTTTTAGGTACAGAAATTGAATAAATCAAATGTAAAATAACATTGCATATTTGACTGTATAAATTAAAGTTTAATCCTTATTAAAGTTACAAAAGTTATTCAATCAAGAGCAGTGAGTGATTTCCGTGTTGTTGCTGTTTGATTAACATTAAGAACGTGCTGTCACTTTAAGAGAATGCACTGATCCAGTGCACTGATACAGTACATTCAGCCGGCTATGTCTGCAAGGATACTCACCTAGACAGGCATTTTGACAATTTTTGTGTGATTTTGTCCATTCAAACAATACTTCACAGAGAGCTTAATATTTGTGCGCGTTCTGAGATGCGGGTTCAGGCGTACACACAGATCTTCTCACTGCGCGCGCGAGTTCACGTCTTCTGGCTCTTTAATATTTAAACTGGCAAGGCTTAAATGAGTTTAGTTTAAACACAGATAGCAACGTGTGCTGTTCAGGTCTCACCTGTGCTATCAACACATGATGACGGCATAAATGACAGTTATTCCAGCATAAAGCACTCGCATTGATTAAAGAGTGACTGGTTTGTCCACGTATTGTTTTTGTTTCTCTCATCACTCTTGTTGTAATATATTGGGAAGCCAGAATTTGTATCCATCAACAGAAACATGCATTAGCCGAACACTTAACAAACCATATTACAGATGCATTGTCAGATTTAAGTTGAACCGCGGTCCTAGTGTATGCCGAACCATGTGTGGAGAATGGTACGGTTCGATTTTTTACCGAGAACCGTTGCACCCCTAGTGCTAAACTTATACTTAGCCTCTAACTCTCACACTGGCGAGTAAAATCTGAGAATTTATTAGCCATTGGCTAATTTTAGACATCATGTAGTTGCCCAGAGTGAAGATTTAGTCGCATATGCGAGTGATTTACTCGCAATGTAGAGGGTTGATTACAATAGGTTTGTCAACCCAAATAGCCAATCAAATCAATGAACGGAGAAGTCTTGTTGCCATGCCCACCCAACATTTTATCCATTAAGCTTTACTAAACTGTCACTGCATGATACAACGAATCATTAGAGAAATTAACTAGCTTGTCACGACTCTTTCCCGAAACCATAGTAACTTTGTTGCACAACTGTCATTCAATTCCACACTGGTTCAACAATATAGCACTGTAGTAAATGACATCACAATGGTGGTGGAGTATACATTTGGTTTGAGTTCGAATTAATGTCAGATTATTGCTGTAAATATTGAACATGCCATCTAAGGACAGATTTCACCATTAGTTGACTTCATTTTCAGATACTTGATTCGATTGCAGGTTCCGTATTACGTTCCGCCAGAGCTCTAGAGCACATTTTGTGCACTCTTCAGAGATGGTGCTTTCATTGTTTTTACAAAGTAAAAGATGTAGAGTGAAAATGTGGAACGACATACTGTATATAGGTTGTACTGCATGTTGGCTAGTCCACAAGAAACTGTTGTAGTTCAAACACAATGTTCGTTGGAACTATGGTTTTGGAAAACACTGAATCATTGAACTATGTTGGTAATGACAAAACCTGAAATCGTAGTTTGCAATCAATACTTTTAGGAAATGCACCCCTGATTGGTTGTCCATGGTGGCCCATCCCTGAGTTACCTGTGCATGCCAGGAAGCCGTTTTTCCAAGTTTCCTGTGTTCACATTCCATATGTAGATGGCACCGTCTGCAGAGCCAGCTGCCAGGAAGCTGCCATCCGGACTGAAAGAGAGAGAAAAACGACTATTGTGACTGATGACTACAGACCGAAACACATTACTCTGTGGAACTGATTCTCTCTTGCCGTATAGATCCCTCGGGCAAGTGATCTTATCTAAAACGCACTGAAATGTCAGGGACCTATACAAGCCATATCTGTTCAGTCTGTTCCTAAACCAAGTGAACAAGACTGCATTTTAAGGAAGAGTAGCTTTTTTATTTCATACTGAAATTATGCTGCCTTCGAAGACCTTATTTTGGACAAATTAGATGTGGCATCAAATGTATACCACAGAGTGTGTGATCGCAATGCCACACGCACAATGACAAAAGAAAGAAATAAGATGGTGGACGGCGCCTATGAGTCAGAGCTGAAACCAACGTAGAGCGTTTCAAATCTGTTGAGCATGCCGTCTTAGAAGAGCACTAGGTTCCTGCTTGTGACTCTCTCTCCCCTTTCAAGTGCTCGTGCCAGATCCATTTGTGAAAAAATCCACAGTGCGTTCTGGCCTCGCTGTCTCCATGGAAACTGTATATGCCTATGCAGGGAGGTGCTAAAAAGACTCGTTTCTCATCTCACATCATATGGAGCGTGTTGCATTTACTTTCTAACAATGCCGAGAAAATTGCAGGGTCAGACTGCGCATAAGGATATAGAGTCTGCATGGCTCTAGGATTATTGAAAATACATCTGGAGTAAAGCTCTCCATTTTTAGGCTAGAAATTGAAAGCATCTTTAATACAGCATCGTACGCTGTTATATAAGCCTCTTCTGTAAATTCATACTCAACAAACAAATGTGGCAATGATATCGAGTCTAAAGAGCAAAATAAGAATCATATTTTCAATAAAGAAAATTACTGTGAAATTTCTGGAGGAGCCAAATGCTAGTGTGATTTCACGTTTTCATAAATGAAGAACTACACTAGCCATAATTAAGAAGACAGAATCAGCAACCAGAGAAGTTGCTGTTGCCATGGAGATGGAAACAGAAACTGTCCAGTCATTAAGCAGCGCAATGAAATCCAGTCTCTCTACACTCTCAATAAACTCTTTCAATAAACTTCCAATATATTTTATTTTATATATGTAAAGAATTTGATAATACTTTAAAGGGGTCATATGAGGATCGCCGGATCAGCTTTCACCGTGAAGCGGAGTCCAGCCCGGGGTCGTCACATGTGCTTGCCGCAAGCCCTCCGGACGCTCCTTTGTTGAATCCGCCGGCCGCGCTGTTCTCAAGCCCGCCGCCTCTGCTCACTCTAGGCCGCCGCCGCCGCAGCTCACTCAAGGCCGCCGTGTGTGACGCTGTTTCGTTGTGAAAGCAAAACTAATTTGTTTGGTCTTCCAAAAATGGACACGACTAGAAATCAGTGGTTAAGACACTTCAACCCAAATATTCAGATGTGTCAGAAATGTTCAAATATTCAGATGTGTGCAGCACATTTTATGGAGGACTGTTTCCTGATCCTGGAAGAGTAGACTACAATGCCGGCTGTTCTGACTCACAGACTGTACGTACGTTTTTTATATTTAAAGAGTTTTTATATTTTATTTATTTAAAGCGAGTTTTTTGGGCAGTGTAGAGTAGCGCTTGTTGTTTGTCATTTCTCCGATCACAAATGCAGACATGGTTTTATGTTTACGCGGCGCGATGCGATGCAACGCAACGCGTAAAAAGACAGTATAAGTCATTATAATCCCCAATTATGTCTTCAATGCCTCGTTTATAACGGGTTTTCATGTTTTTGAATCATCGCTCCGGCCTGACACGGCATCACAGTATGGTGAGGGGCGTAACATTTCCGTCACACGCTTGAGGTATTCGGCCAATCACAACACACTGGATAGCTGGCCAATCACAGCACACCTCGCTTTTCAGAATGATGAGCTTTGTAAAAATCGACGCGTTTCAGAAAGGCGGGGCACAGAGGAGAAACAATAATGTACAGTATGTGGAAAATAATGTGTTTTTTGAACCTTAAACCTCATAAACACATTTCATTACACCAAATACACAAAATAATGTTCTTTTTAGCGACATCATATGACCCCTTTAAAATAGGGATCACATCTTCATTATTAACGAAGAGTTTTCCCTGAATAAATTTTAAATAAATTAATAGTTAGTAAGGTAGTTAAGTTTATTAAAGTTTTTTGTTTTTAAATAAATTGATACTTTTATTCAGAAATTACATTTAAAATCCAAATGACAGTAAAGACATTTATAATCTTAAAAAAATAATAATTTAGATTTCAAATAAATGGTGTTCTTTTGATATTTCCATGATGAAGAATCCATGATCTCCACAAAAACATTAAGCAGCACAACTGTTTTTAACATTGATAATAATCAGAAATATTACTTGAGCATCAAATCAGCATATTAGAATGATTTCTGAAGGATCATGTGACGTTGAAGGCTGGAGTAATGATGATGAATAAATAAATGGAATTAATGACATTTTTAAATATTTTATACCAAAAAAATTTTTTTTTTTAATTCACAGTATTACTGTTTAAATTAATTTTTGGTTCAAATAAATGCCGTCTTGGTGAGCATAAAAGTCTTCTTTCAAAAACATTCAAAAATCGTGCTGACAGCAAACTTTTGAACAGTAGTGTAAATAAATAATATACTATAATAAATAAGTAAATTTAAATTGAATTTTAAAAATCTAGTAATTATTTGGTAGATGATGAGTGTACTTTAATTGAATGAAAATAATGTCACACAATACAATTATTCTAAAACATAGGTTTATTTATTTAATAATTTATTAAGATAATCTTGTAAAACCTTTCCTTTTTTTCTTTTGAGGTGAAATATGACCTGCACAAGTTTTGTGAGATTGACCCAAAAATATTATGCAACTGCACGGCCAGATGAATCCAGAATCCAGAAAATGAGACGTGACTCCTGCTGAAACTAGAAAGTGACAAGAGTAACAAATGAAATCCATCTCGCCAGCCATCTTTACTCGGGGGGTCAGAGCCCTTCTCTGTTCATTACGCTAGCAGAATTGGATTTTCCACCTACGAGTAAATCCACATGACCTCTCCAAAGACTAAGAAAAAAAGTCAAGACTGCAAATCAGGGTTGCTGTAGATGCCAGAAGCACAGTACAGCAGTACGTTTCTGGGGTTGTAAGCATCACACCACATGCCATCTCGAACGAGACCTAGCACAGACAGTGGTCTGCACTCAGCATTGATGGATGGCTAACGATGGCACGTAGCGTCCTGTTTGGTTTCACTCACCTGAAAATGGCCTTGGTGCTGTCACTTCCACATTTGAAGCCCTCCGCTCTGAAACAGCCAAGAAAAAGAGAGAAATTATTGAGTCTTCTGTAAAAGGAACAACAAAACTAATCAGAGTGCTCATACAGTTTGATATAAACATTCTGTCTATATAACAAGTTTCCCTGTTATTGCATTTGACTTGCTTTAAAACAAAGGATAAGGGAGCCGCTCTGTCATTGGTGTCGGGGTATCGAATATGCATGATTGATGGTTTAAATAACAAATTGATTTCTTTGTCTCTTGGGACTTTAATAGACATTGTGAGCTTATTCCAAAGTCTTTGCAGTGGCTTTCAATCAGTCTGTAATTTCTCAGTCCATAATTTAAAAAGAAAAAAATTCATTGTATATCATAACAAAGCTGTGTCTGTATTTAGAAAATTGCCTCTATCATCTGTCACCTGCCATGTGTATATAACATACAGTATATGCACTTGAGCGTGCAGTCCTCCACCAGCAGGGGACTGTCTCCCACTATAGTAAAGCCAAAACGACCATCAGGCCCCGGGGCAATGTCCATCTGTGGTGGTAAAGTGGATAAGGGTGAGTGACACTGGTTTGCTCTACAGAAGCAAAGGAAAATTAGGAGAGATCTGAATTTTCTTTAGCACAACAAGGGTAACTTGATATATATATACATACTACCGGTCAAAAGTTTGGGATCAGAACGATTTTTTATGTTTTTTTACAGGAGTTTCTTATGCTCATCAAGGCTGCATTTATTTGATCAAAAATACAGGAAAAAATCTAATACTGTGAAATAATATTATGATGTAAAATAACGTTTTTCTATTTGAATATACATTAAATGTAATTTATTTCAGAGATGCAAAGCTGAATTTTCAGCATCATTACACCAGTCTTCAGTGTCACATGATCTTCAGATTTATTATCAGTGCTGCAAACTGTTGTGCTGCGTAATATTTTGTTCTTTTTTTTTGAAAGAAATTAAAATTTGTATTCAGCAAGGATGTGTTAAATTGTTAAGAAGTGATAGCCAATATTTATATTGTTAGAAACGATTTATATTTTGAATAAATGCTGTTCTTTATAACTTTTTATTTATCAAAGAATCCTGAAAAATTATCGCAGTTTCCCAAAAAATATTTGGCAGCACAACTGTTACCAACATTGATAATTCTAATAATAAATCAGCATATTAGAATGATTTCTGAAGGATCATGTGACACTTTATACTGGAGTAATGGCTGATGAAAATTCAGCTTTGCATCACAGAAATAAATTATATTTTAAAGGATATTCAAATAGAAACCATTATTTTATATTGTAATAACATTTTGCAAGATTACGTTTTTTTTTCTGTATTTTTGATCAAATAAATGCAGCCTTGATGAGCATAAGAGACTTCTTTAAAAAACATAAGTCTTACTGATCCCAAACTATTGACCGGTAGTGTATATATACACACACACACATATGTAAATATGTAGTTTATATACCTTTGTTAAATATACTGATCATTGTTATCACATGTTTACACGCTGCCTTCCCATATTAATGCAGAATCAACATAAAGGAGTATTTATATACATTTATGAAACATTTTGAGTAGATGTTTATTTAATCAGTTTTGAGGATCACTCCTTATCATATCATATTATAGATTAAGGGCAATATATACATCACCCACCCTGCTATGCTGACTCGGCAGTGCCATGCTCAACTCGCTCAACTACAGGAACTCTTCATCACTGATTGTTCTTAGATTTTGAATTAAAACATGTCTGTTGCCATTCCTAATTAACTTACTGGCCAGATGGCAGGGTTTTTAATTGCTTGGCAGGTTTTACTCTATGTATTGCTCAGCAAGTGTTAATTTTTAACCCTGCATAAAATCTGTTTCTGTGTATTACGCTGTTAAAAATACCCTGCTACCTGTGCCTAACCCCGTCGGTGTGTTTGTTTCTACCTGAAGGCCACCCTGTCGTTACTCTTTCTCAGGTCAACCAGCTGCAGAATGTCATCTCTGGAGCAGCTGAGCAGCTGCCTGTGGTTGGGGCAGAGGTCCAGTGAGGTCACTCTGCCCTGAAGAGGCACTTCCTGTGTGCAGTTCCCTGCCCTACGGAATACACACATGGATTGACTAATCAAACTTCATTTTGCCTTCATATTAGTGTAACTGAGCACTAAAACAGCTATCAGGTAAACATGACTTTTTTTTTTTTTACTGTTTATTTTATTGCTTTTATTTATTTTTAGGGCTAGGAATAATATCACATTCATTTCTGCAATTAATATTTGCTGTTTAATGTGATAATTAATTCCAATGAACACAGCAAGCCTTTTTTATTATTCCTGAAGGATTGTATTTTCACTTTTCATTAAAAGGTGTTATAATATTTTTTATGTTCTGTAATTGTTAATAAATGACAAATAAAAAAAAAATCGGATAATTTGCAGTTTAAGCCTGACTCTCAATTATACTGTAATGCTGAATAGCTGTAATGACTCATTTTAAAGTAAAGTAATCTATTTAAAGGACGCATCAGTATTTGTATTGGTGTAGGTGATACTGGCCTTTATAGTATTTAGTTAAAATATGCCATTAAACAATTATTTAAAATATGATATATTTAAATTACTGTCTTTATAGGGGCTTTTGCAGCGAGTAGTTATAGGAAGTAGCCACCCCAAGAACAAAATTTTCCCTTAGGGCCATTTTCCTGGTTGCATTCACAACTGCCAGAATGAACTTTGAGGTGATGCAAGCCGGCTGACAGCAAACGTCATTTAAGAGCGGCATTCAACAATGTCAACAACTGGAGAATGGAGGACGGAAAAGTGCCTGAGCTTTGGCATCAGTCCATCTATCGCCGTTTTCCATGTTCATGGAGTAAGTATATGTAAACTTCATTTACACAGCTTTTTAAAAATGAGAGTGCCAGTGGCATATGCCATGTGTTCGACCAATCAGCGTACACTTGCATCACTGCTAGTTCCTATTCCACAGGGTTAGACCCTACTCTGATGTAGGAGCTCATTTAGTTCCCCCAAAAGGCATTCTTAGAACTACAATCATTCCCAGTTCCTGTGGTGCGAACGGGCCAAAAAGTGGGTAATTCCACTAATAGTTATAGGAACAATAAAAAGTGTGAGAAAAAAAAGGTGCGAAAAGCCCCTTATGTTGTTTCTAGAATAATTTGGAGATTCAATATGAAGAATATATTTATGATTACAAATTTAAATGTTAATTAATTACAGGATGTAATTACAGAACCCATTAAAGAAACTTGTGAAGGCATTTGATGTGTTTAAAACTACCTACTTTTCATGCTGTTCATTTTATGTTCAATAATAGTTCTAATAGATAGTAGCTTAAAGGGATAGTTCACTCAAAAAAGAAAATTCTGTCATTAATTACTCACCCTCGTGTTGTTCTAAACCCGTAAGATCTTCGGAAACACAATTTAAGATATTTTTGATGAAATCTGAGACTGCACGACACAATCACAGTCATTCAGAAAAGACCGTTTTTACTGCTATCTGGAATGGGATTTCAGACCAGTGAGATTTCAATATGAACTATCCAGCAGGATGCAAGTGAAAGGCAGTTGCGGCTGGTAAGGACATGGTGCAACTTCCTTTATTAATCCAAATTAATATTCCTAAAATTAATCTGAATATTTAAGAGTAATTACTTGTAATGGATAATCTAAACATTGGTTGATGCCAACGTTTTTTTTTTTTTTACTGCCTTTATTATTTTTATTTTATCAATATAGATTTTTTTCATAAAACTTTTTCTCTCTTCAAGCCATTTTGTTCATCTTTAAAGGTCAATAACAGGTCAGTGTTACTTTTTCCCCAAAATCACAAATAAATTTTAGGGTAATTTAAATTATTTGCATTGCGACCCTTTTATAACCTTATTTTCATTTATGGATATACAGGTGCAAAATGTGAGCCAAAATCATCACAATTAAAAGAACCAAAGACTTAAACTACTTCAGTCTGTGTGCATTGAATTTATTTAATACACGAGTTTCACAATTTGAGTTGAATTACTGAAATAAATGAACTTTTCCACGACATTCTAATTTATTGAGATGCACCTATATTTATATATTTACATATAAATAATTTTTTCTGTATATGAAAATACTGTATTATACAAAATATATGAGAATTGTGAAGTGAAAACTGCTTAATTATCTGTGGAGCATGGTTTGCCAACTTTGATTAAATTTTTTTCATGACCTTTAACTGACATAAAACTTGCCCAAATGGCATGAAAACTAGATCATTTATTTTTTGAGGTCCCATATCTTCACAGTCCTGTCCGCACTGCCCGTCACCACCTGCCTCTGACTGTATTTAAATCTGGCTGCTGTCACTTTACGAGAATGACCCGTCAATGTAAGCTAGAAAAACAATAGACATACTTTTAATGAGAGGCTGAATCTCTCGAAACCTGTCAAGAACAGTATTAATATAAAGTATTACAATCTCAACAACAAAAAAACTACTGACCCCACTCTTTTGAATGGTAGTATATATATATTCTTTAGATTCGGGGGTAAAATGTGACCCAGACATAATTTCTAAGAAATTCATCCAAACATTTACTTTCTCTCTCTGTCTCTCCTGCTCTCTCTCTCTCTCTCTCACTCACACACACACACACACACACACACACACACACACACTCGCACATAGGGATGAAATATTCAATGTTCAATTGTGTCTTAGTCTCCTCTCATATTCAGCTTGACAAATTGGTTTTGAGCGGAGCAACTGTGTCTTTTTATCTGGATACTTAATAAGCATGAGCATTTTACTGAAGGATATGCTCGTTCTGTGACATGTTTATGACAATTTCTTAAAATGAATGAAAATTAAAACATTATTCTTCGTGTTTGCTTTTTTCTGTCCTCTTTATTGTCCTCCCTTTCTGTCACGCTAGTACATTTTCAGACACATTTTTATATGATATATGGGTCATTCCTGTTATGCCAAACCTTTTGAACTTTGTACCTTATAAAAAATGTAAATGCTTAGTTCTAATTCAAGTATTTCTATAAAAGTATCATGATTGCAGATGCCTTTTTAAAAATTCACCCATGTTCACTTAATTGTTACGTTTCCTAATGTGATTTTCATCGTTCAAAATTGTGAGATTTTATCCAATATATTAAGACAAATATGATGGGCCATAAAACTACCGCATAGTAAGAATGACCCATATCCGTCCTGTTTGCCTCAAAAATTATGTGTTAAGCTGATTCTGCCCTATAAAACTCTCCCATGCCTCACTGTCAAGTAAAACACAATGCAATCTAAGCAGGCACAGGAATAAACATATTTAACATGGTTCATACTGGTCTGTCTCATCTGATGATCTCTAGAGTGATTCAGAGAGACAGACTAGCGCACGGGTGGTTTGGATGGGCGAGAGGTAAGCTCTGTTACCTTGGGAACGCTGTCCTCTAGCCTCCAAAATAGAGCAGACTTGTCATATGACGCAGCTAAAATCCGAGTGCCCTGATGGAAAAGCACAGTGACACATCCCACAATGCATTAGAGCAGTAACCACAGCATAATCAACTCAACAGCCTTACAGGAACAGTCTCCTTATATTACTTGTAAAGATCCTTCAGTGGCTGAGGGCTCTTATGGACAGCTCATTGGTACGTGCTAATTAGCAATGACTCAGTGGAGTCATTTGGAATGTTCTTCAGATCAGAACGCTGTCCTCTAGCCTCCAAAATAGAGCAGACTTGTCATATGACGCAGCTAAAATCCGAGTGCCCTGATGGAAAAGCACAGTGACACATCCCACAATGCATTAGAGCAGTAACCACAGCATAATCAACTCAACAGCCTTACAGGAACAGTCTCCTTATATTACTTGTAAAGATCCTTCAGTGGCCGAGGGCTCTTATGGACAGCTCATTGGTACGTGCTAATTAGCAATGACTCAGTGGAGTCATTTGGAATGTTCTTCAGATCATCTAATGGTGCTTTTCCACTGCGTGGTACGACTCGGCTCAGTACGGCACGGCACGGCTCGGTTTGCATTTCCACTGCAGTTTAGTATTGCTTTAGAGTGGGTGGGATTATTCACATGTCATTAGTTGCACCGCCTATACTGCCGCGACTCCTGAAAAACGTTTTCATTCCACGTCGCCCCATCAAGCTCTCGCTGGATCCGCTCCTCTGCTATCGACGAGAGGACGTCTGTACTTCCTCAACAGACAACGAAACAGCCACTTTTTGGTTGTTAAAAAAGGTGCGCTCGTTCAAAACAGTTGTGTTCGATCCTTCGCTGGCTGTGCTGATTTAAATCTAGCGGTTCTGTTGTGTTTGTGTCACAAGTTCAGTGACGCAGGTAGTGACGATTCTCTCCGGCCAATCAGTGATCAGCAGAGTTTACACGTCACGTTTTGGTAACGGTTCCTATCTATGTAATTCCCGTCCCAACCAGGTACAGCTCATTACTGCATGCCATGAGAATCTTCTTTAGCCCTCCTCCTCCCCAGCACCACCTGTCTAGATCTGCTCCTTTTTTTTTTTTTACCTTGTAGCAACATTTATCCTACAACCCCAATTCCAGAAAGGTTCGGGGGCGTTTTGCAAAATGCAATAAAAACAAGAATCTGTGATTTGTTCATTGTCTTTAACATTTATTTAATTAACAAAAGTACAAATAAAAGTTTTCACTGACCAACTTAAATGTATTTTGTATGTAAAACTTAATTGTATTTTTGATGTAAAATGGACGTCGAGTTCTCAGTCCCAAAGACCAAAGGGACCATCCAGACTTTCACCAGCGACAGATGCAAAAGCAAATGTCTCTCGTGGTATGGGGGTGCAGCAGAGCAAACAGCATTGGTGACTGGAATATGTGCAAAGGTACCATTGACATGGAGGCATATATTGGAATTGTACAGAGACATATACTGCCATCAAGATGACGTCTTTCAAGGGAAGTCCATGGTTATTAGATCAAGACAATGCCAGGTCTCATCCTGCACGTGCTGCAACAGCGTGGTTTCCCAACTTTTTTGGAGTGTGTTGCAGTCATCAAAATCAAAATTTGTTTATATTTACAAAATAAAAATTAAGTTGGCCAGTGAAAACATTGGAAATTTGTCTTTGTACTTTAGTCAATTAAATAAAGGTTAAAGAGAATGAAGAAATAACATATTCTTGATTTTATGGCATTTCACAAAACGTCCCAACTTTTCTGGAATTGGGGTTGTACCTTTCTATGAAGTTTCACCTCGCTACTGCACACATGTGCACATTATAGCACACATACTATTTTTAAGGCACATTATAATGAGTATACATGAAAATATAGCTGCTCTTATATTTTAGGAAGGGTATCATCATATTTTTGGGGTCCTTGGAATCAACAATCCCTGAACTAAAGTCCAATAAAGAGCAACAACAACCACTCATAATTCAGTTAAACCAGCACTAAATAGTTCGTGAGTAAACTGGAATTCATCAAAACATTATTGAAATAGTTATTTACAGTATTTAATTTGGGTATACTCTTATTGAATCAAAGTTTTATTCATATGTTTTTTTGTAGCAGTTGTACAAGCATTGCAACCAATCTCAGAAGCATCTGTTGTGCACATAAATGCAGGCATTAATCACAACAACAGGTCCTAATGAGCGAATTTGAAGCAATCTGATGCACAGATCTGTGTTTTGGTTGCAGTGCACACGGAAATGACAGCTAAAGAAACCGAAGCAAAATGCTTGCACTGTAACAACCAATATACACTACAGGCAAGCGACACAACAAAACTACAATGCTTATTATAACTAATAACCAACAAAGAGTAAACAATTTGTAAGCCGTGCTGAACTGCAGGGCTCATATGTAAAACTGCAAAAATGCAGGGAGTGAGAGCTTTAGTGATTATAATGGGGGCATTCTAGTATGTTGCCTCGTTACACTGCTCATTTTCTGTGTATAATTTATTCAAACACAATGATGTGTGTTCACACCGTAGGATCGAACTCAATGCTGGTGATCCCCTCATTACTTCCATCTAACGTCCCTCTGTTCTGAAGAGTACCTGTGAGGATGAAACATCACAGTATGTTACATCAAGCCTGAGAATATTCACTCAATTCTGCTGTGTCTATTAACTGCATAATACAGCACATCACAGCACCACACACAGTAATGCTTGTCCATGCAAAAATTGCTTTTTTATTGTGGTGATGTGACATTCTGGTTAATGTACGCTGACTTTTTTGTTTTTTCTCTCTCGATATTAGAGTGCTGACATCTGCTGGTGGTCAGAGGCAGTCACATATAATGACAAAAGCATTCAGTATCACTCGATGTGGGTTGTTACTATCTATCTGAACCCTGTCTTTATGGCTAAAGCTGACAATTAAACAGAAGATCTTTTTTTAGATCAGTTTTGCAATGTACCTGCTTCAATGCCCCACAGTTTGATGACTCTGTCAGTTCCTCCTGTAGCCAACAGGTTTGAATTGGTACTGAACCTCACAGCGTTGATTCCCAGCTCATGTGCATCCTGAAACCACAAAGCACACATTCATTTGTAATCTTTACATTTACATTTATGCATTTGTCAGACACTTATCCACTGACACTTTTAACTGACTTGCATTGCATTTCATTGAATCATTTTCTGAAAACCCTAGAAACCACCTAGAGCAGCATAGCAACTTCCTAGCAACAACCCAGAATACCCTAGCAACACCATCCCAATTCCCTAGCAATCCCCCAAAATATCCTAGCAATCTATCTATTAATGTTTTTGAAACAGGTCTCTTATGCTCACCAATTCTGCATTTATTTGATACAGTAAAAACAGTTATATTGTAAAATAGTATTACAATTTAAAATAACTGTTTTTTATTTGAATATATATTTAAATGTAATTTATTCCTGTGATGCAAAGCTGAATTTTCAGCATCGTTACTCTACAGTCTCTCATAATCCTTCAGAAATCACACGAATAGGCTGATTTGCAACATTTATTATAATATAATCAATGTTAAAAACAGCTATGCTGCCTAATACGATTAAAGCTACCATTAAAAAGTTTTTTTTTTTAATCCTGTTTTTATTCAGCAAGAATGCATTAAATTGGTCAAAAAGGGACAGAAATAAAAACACTGATAATGTTACAAAAGATTCCTATTTCAAATAAATGCTGTTCATTTTAAACTTTTCTATTCATCAAAGAATCCTGAAAAAAAAATCTATAACGATTTCCACAAAAACAATAAGCATCAAAAACTGTTTTCAACATTAAAGGGGTCATATGATGCGTGAATAAATTACATTTTAAAATAATTAAAGTAATAAGCAGTACTTTTAAATTATAATACTATTTCACAGTATTATTTTTACTGTATTTTACTCAAATAAATGCAGAACTGGTAAGTGTAAGAGATTTCTTTCAAAAACATTTTAAAAAATCGTAATTATTCCAAACTTTTGACCAGTAGCCTTGAGTAGCCCTGCTCACAATTTCGGTCTGGACAGACAAATTACTTGAAGAAAATTAGTGGAAACTTCATCTCACACCTGCTAGCAGGTGTCAGTAGTGATTTTGCTCCACTGTGTATTAGTGGATCAGGAAAATTGCAAGAGAATGTTGCCACGTTCAAAAACATTATTTTGCATGGTACAAGTACCAAATACCATGGTCCAACAATAGTACACAACAATAGTTTGTTTGTAATATAATGAGACTCTGAGTGTACAAATAACCAAGTGTCTGATTTTGAGGAACTTCACTACCTTCTGTTTTTACCACGGCACAAATAATAATAACTGTCATGCCCAATCTTATTTTTAAACAGTGCACTATGAAAACTACAGAAGGGGAAGCAACTTTACTAAGGTGTAGAAATAATACAAACAAGCACTTTACACTCAAATGGAAATTTAAGCTGTAGGCGATAAGCCCTTCAATACTTCAATACATATCTCCATTTAAGGAAGTGGCAACTCCTCTCCATACCACAATTAGGGCTGGTTCCTGCAGTCAGCTATTCAAATGAAAACGGACATGTGAAGCGGGTGGCTGCACATGACAGAGCTGCAGTGTGCTATAGAAAGACACTGTTTCACAGCGACACACAGACACTTTGTTCCACAACCAGATCATCCAAAGACAGACCACTAGCCACCACTACAGGCAATGTGCTTTTAAAGATATCTTTAAGATATGACCCATTTAAGAACCACAAGATCAATATTATAGTCCATTTATCCAATCTCTCCATGTCTATCCCTATACTACAGTTCATCTACACAACTGTTTCCCCATCGTTTTCAGGATTCAAGGTTACATTGGTTTCTAGTTGCGTCATAGCCCAACAGGACCTAAACATCATTTCAAAGCTTGTGAGAAGCAACTTTAGTTGTTTGAATTTGTTGTAAACAGTAACACGCACCATTGTAAAAATTGCCTTGGTTGGGACTCTGGCAACCAGACAGACTCCTAATGGTATATAGAGATCTTCCTCTGACCTGCAAACGGATTTTCCTCTAATCTTACTCCTGGACACACGTAAAGACACACAACAGAAGAACAATCAATAATACTTATGAGCAGTACAGAACTTATATATACAGAGATGCAGGGCTGAGTGTAGCATGTTAAAATGTGTTACATAATCAGATTATTTTTGAAAGTAATGAGAAATTATTATAATTAAGAGCATAACACTCTTTTAAATACAGTAAAGTACTTTTCCTTTAACCCGATTTCCAGGTCCAGACACAATCTGCAGACTTATAATATTCTGGATTAGATGTAAATATGGAGCTAAATGTACAACAATCTTAAAAGCATTTTTTGATTAGCCAAAATACTGACTATATATTTACTGAAAAACCTTCTCCTTGCTGCTTTAGCACCACAGTTATGATACAATGTTCCCAAAAGCAAGTAACTAAAGTAATCATTGCACAGTAACTACTGCAAATTGGCATATTTGTTTTAAGAACCACACTGGATCAATGATTGATGCTGTTAATGATGTTACGCAGAGGGTAACATTCAGAAACACAATAGAAACGTATAACAGTAATAACGTTTCCCAAACAAACAACTTCTATGAAGATAGAATGGATGTCTTGACTCTGTAATGAAATAAAATACAGAGAATGTACAGTCATTCTTCTTATATATTTCTGTTTATTCAATACGAATACAAATGTATTAATAAAAATTAAAATGTATTCAAATAAAAATTTGTCACAGCTATGCTGTATTAAACGCACAAAGACGAAGAAGGTGGTTATTAAAGTCTTTAATCCAACACACAGGGTAGCATAAACGCAGATGAGACCAGACAAACTAGAACTGAACACAGGAACTTAAATACACAGACCAAACAAAGATAATTAACTACACACACCTGAACAAAATGACACAATTAACTCAATGAAGGGGAACGGTGCATGAGGAAAACAAAATCAAAACTGAATGACATCCTGGAAGGCGCGACCGGCGACCTTGCACCGTAGAGAGAAAGATGAGGAGGCGAGGAGGATAAGGAGATGGCGAAGGGATGGTGCAGGGCAGGCACACTGGCAGAGATGCAGAAGGAGGTTCGGGAGGAGGACGGACAACTGGGAGGAGGATGACAAAAATCCAGGGAGGTGCAGGTGGAAGAGATGACCAGGGAGGAGCCTTTAGCAGGAGAGGACGGATGGAAACCCAGGCCACAGCCAGGACTGCACTCCATGGCGGCATTGATGGAGGGAGGAGCCAAGGCGTGATGGGAACACACACCTCCATGAGGATATACGTAGGCAACGACGACGATGGTGGAGCCCACGGTGCAGACAGAGAGCCGAGGAGGTGGAGCGACACCGAGGATCCAGCCGTAGTGACGATCGTCCGAGATGTAGGTGGGGATCCAGAGGCCAAAGGGCAAGCTGGAGACCGAGGAAGGAGGCGGGCCTTGAGGGAAGTCTTAGCAGGCCTTAAGGGTGGAGGGCCCGCAAGTCCACAGCAGAGGTGTGGTGAAGTCCGACCCAGGTGGAGCCGACTGACCGAGGGAGACCGGCAAGGCTGACTGGGACGATGGTCCACGCTAGAATCGATGGTGGGAGGAGCGCAGGAGTCAGGACGGCGGGACGAAGTGGAGCGGAGCCATCTGAGGCCGGAGGTGGAGCCACGGGCTCTTCAGGTCCAGGAGACGAAGACTCCCATCAGGCGCGAGATGGAGCCCCATCACTGAGAGGAGGTGACATAGAGGGACTGATGGGGGATGAAGATGACTGGACAGAAGGAGTGGCTGAGGACCGAGGAGAATTAAGAAATGCACAAAATCCAATCAAAAATTAAAAGCCTCTTTGTAAGGGAGGCTGGGCGGGACCAGCGAGTCAGACAGATGAACAGAATCAGGCAGGCTTAGGCGAAGCAAAGTCTCTAACTCTCCAAATTGAAAAAGAGTGTCCAAGTCCAGTAAACAATCACTCTCAGTGGCGGGAGGGTGGGCGGCACTCACTTCCATTCCCTCGTACTCCACGAGAATTCCCTCCGGCACGTGCGGTGTTGCCGGCTCACACACCTGGTCAGACATGGCAAGCTCCGGTTCCGGGGTGATGTCCTGCTCGATCGCTTCTCTTGGTGTGGGCTCAAACATCGCGGTGGAGGCGGGCTCTTCTCCGGTGGGCTCTAGCTGTAGTTCCTCACAGCGGGGTGGTGACTGGCTGGGCACTGGGTCTGGAGTGGAGCTGGTGACGCCCTCAACGGTGAAGACTGATCCACAGGAAACCAGCACTCACTCCACATACGTAGTCAGCAAAGCTCCCTCGAGGAGGTTCCCCGGACAACTGCGCTCTAGTGGTGTTGTTAAGTCCCACTTTGTAGAAAAGTGCAGAGGCAGTCGTCCAGGAAAGTGGTCTGGTGGGCAAGACTCAGAAATTCCTCCAGGTGCTCCTCAAAGGAGCGATCTTCCTGCTCAAGGCACAGCAGGGTGACAGCGGCAAAATGATCCATGGAAAAAACAAACAAAAACATTGACAAAACGCAAATAAAGCAGGTTAAACAGCGCCCCTTCTTTCTTTCTTTTTGGGTCCAGTCTTCTGTCACAGTTACATGTATTAGACGCACGAAGACGAAGAAGGTGGTTATTAAAGTCTTTAATCCAACACAAAGGGTAACATAAACACAGACGAGACCAGACAAACTAGAACTGAACACAGGAACTTAAATACACAGACCAAACAAGGATAATTAACTACACACACCTGAACAGAATGACACAATTAACTCAATGAAGGGGAACGGTGCATGAGGAAAACAAAATCAAAACTGAATGACATGTGACAAAATTAAATTCAATAATATTTAATTTATTCAATATTAACGCACTCAACTAAAATATTTTAAATATTTGATTAGTTTATTCAAAAACATCAGTTGTCATATGGCATGATCGCTTAGTACCTATAAACTGTAACTATGATCTAGATTCAACTATACTAGTGTATTTAAATCATATCTACATTTTAACAGCAGGTTTACTTTTTGAGCAATTTTTTAATGCTACACATTATAAGTAAAAGTATATCAAAGTATATCAAAATATCAAAAGTTTTTCAAAGGGCTCAATGATTGGATTTCCTAATTTCAAGAGCTATATGGTTATTATGGAATTTGCTTATAATTTACTGCATTTCTAATAAAGAAATACCACTCTATTTTACTAATATTTCTACATATTTTTTAATGCAATAATATAACACATTAATTTTAAATATAACGTTCCCCTATACTTGCGAGTGGCGGGCTGTGATGGCTTAAAAACTTTCAAACAATCACAACTTATTCTATACAGTGATTCGAGAAACTTACTCAAAAAGTCCTCTGATGGAGCTGATGATGCGGGGGGATGTAGCTGAAGCAGACCTGAGAGGAAAAACAACAACTTGACACCATGATAACAGCTATCGAGACTTGTAGGGATCGCACTAACTTTCATAAACTGAAGATGCTGATTTCATTTTCCAGCAGGATTTGGCACCTTCCCACCTTCCCAAAAGCCCCAAAAGTTGGTTAAATGACCATGGTGTTGGTGTGCTTGACTGGCCAGCAAACTCACCAGGCCTGAACCCCATAGAGAATCTATGGGGTATTGTCAAGAGGAAAATGAGAAACAAGAGACCAAAAAAATGCAGATGAGCTGAAGGCCACTGTCAAAGAAACCTGGGCTTCCATACCACCTCAGCAGTGCCACAAACTGATCACCTCCATGCCACGCCGAATTGAGGCAGTAATTAAAGCAAAAGGAGCCCCTACCAAGTATTGAGTACATGTACAGTAAATGAACATACATTCCAGAAGGCCAACAATTCACTAAAAAAAAATTTTTAATTGAAGTATTCTAATTTGTTGAGATAGTGAATTGGTGGGTTTTTGTTAAATGTGAGCCAAAATCATCACAATTATAAGAACCAAAGTTTTAAACTACTTCAGTCTGTGTGCACTGAATTTATTTAATACACGAGTTTCACAATTTGAGTTGAATTACTGAAATAAATGAACTTTTCCACGACATTCTAATTTATTGAGATGCACCTGTAGGTTACTAATGATGCTGTATTTTTAAAAACTGATGGACATATCAAAAATGATTTCCTGGGGTAATCAAGTGCATGCCTCAAATGCTACAGTTAAAGCTCAAAAAGCCCAAAACATACCTTTAAAATAATTACTGTAGTAGTTACCTGAAAAGTGGTCCATGGGATCTCTCAAACCTCTGTGAAGACTCACATTTAGGGGATGATGGTTTAGAAGGCGACACATTTCCAGACTCTCTGACAGGCAAAAGCAAAACAATTAAACTCTGATTAAAAACATGAAAGATTCTAATGATCCACATGTTGACTTTATCGGATTGTTTATGCTGCCCTCAAATGCTGATTAAAGGAATAGTTCACTTACAACTGAAAAGTCTGTCATCATTTACTCACCCTCATATCATTCCAAACCAGCATGACATTCTTTCCTCCGTGAAACGTAAATAAATAAATGACAGTGCATTCTGTAGCATTTTTCCTTTTGTGCTTCACAGAAGAAATAAAATTATAAGGGTTTGGATTGACATGAAGTCAGATTTACACTGCGGTGTCGCTTTATACAGCCGATACTTACTCATTAATATTCACATTCTGACTGGCAGCCATCTGAAGCTCTTTGTGAAGACTGGCCTCTCTGGCTCTAAGAAAGAAGAGGAAATGTGATCAAGAAGGATGTGGTGTTTATGGAATGAACAAAATTTGCTTTCAAGATTTAGGAAAAAAAGAACCTACAAATTATTTGCCAGCAGAAATACCACAGTAGCAGAGAGAATGTGTTCAGTGAACTATGAAATATGGCCCTTGTTTAACAAAACACCAATTCGTTAACTACATTAACCATCTTCTAACCCACTGAATTTAAAAAAGAATAATAATAATGTTTCAACTGTTGTTTGACATGGTCTCTGTGTCCTTTGATCCTTGTTGACAGATGTTGCATAAGGTACAGTAACCCCATAAAATATTTGGACACTAATAACAATGTAGTAGGCTACATTTAGCTCCCACAAAGTTCCCCCAGATATTACAATTATGTCATAATTTAAAAATGCAGTGGTGGAAAAGGCCAACTTTCGCTGGGGAGACTCCAGCTTGGAAAGGGGCGGGGGTCATTTTAGATGACCTTTCAGATTTATTTAATTATAAAACCATTTATACTCTATAATAACATTAAACATATTTAATATTTTCTCTAAACCTTCTTGGATATCAAATCAGGCACCCTGCAATTCTGGCCAAATGAAAGATACGTTATGTGTGAATTGCACGTTATAATGTAAGCATCATTAATGGCCCCTTATGTTTAAAAAAGAAAAAAGAAAAAAGATTGATTAGTGAAATAAAAGAATGATTTAAGAAAAATTGAGAATGATTAGTAATTGTCTCTAATTGGCCTGATTAGCTAAGCCCGCAAAACACTTCTTATTTAGTGTGGTACAGTATTGTATGATTTGTAGATTATATTTAATAGTTTACACTTTGCATAAACATTTGCAATTAGTTTTTAAAAGGTAACATTACATTCTCCAGGACTTTACACTTACATTTCTTTATAGGCTACTTCCAAAAAATTACAAAATTAAAAAATTAGGAACACCTTCTGATCAATGAAAGAAATTAACCAGTGAAGGCAATGTAAGGCGATATTTGACTCTGTAAAGTGTAAAGTTTAACTTTAACAAGTTTTTTTTTCTAGCTTTATTAAATGTATGTCATCTTTTGTGTCAAAAAAATATATATATTTATAAACTTTTATCAAAACTCAAATTAAAACAATAAATTCAATTAAAATAATAATATTCAATCAGGAAGAATACGTTAACAGTCAAATGAAATCAGCATCAACAATTTATCTTTTCACTAGGAGGTGCACAGAAGAACGCAAATTAAGGAATATTTACAGACTTAAATGAGACTCAGAGGTGAATATATTTAAATGAGATATGAGTTATGAGGTTAATGTTTTAAATATAACGTTTTGAATGTAGAAATATTAAATGATTTAAATAACTCAATTTATACTTTAAAAACTAAACTGAAACCGCCAGTTTGTCACTGAATCATTCATTCAATCGATTCGTTCAAACGGCTGAATCATTTAGGAGCGAAGCAAGTGACTGTGGCTGTGTCCGAAATCGCCCCCTATACCCTTAAATAGGGCACTATTTGAGGGGACAGCCATTTTTATTGGTGTCTGAAACCATAGTGGACGTTCTCGAATGCACTCATTCAATCCCACAATGCACCGCAAAAACTAGTGTACAACTGGTGCATGCTCAACGGCTAGAGAATACCCATAATGCACTGTGAGAGTCACGCGCCGAATGAATTCCCGCATCTCGCCAGAAGATGGCGCTCGCAGATGAATAATCAATTCGTTCATATTACAAAGTGCTCATCCATGGCGTACAGCATAATACAACACAGGTATAAATTCATTGTAAATTGATTATTAAATTGTTTAATTAGGGTTTGTACATATTTTCCATGACAGAGTTCAAGATAAATCCTTTAATCTTACTACTGGAGCTCCCAGTTTGCCAGTTTCAAATGATTATTAAACAGCAAGCACCAACTATGCAAAAGCGGCAGTCCTTCCGGTGTACTCAGTGTCCGAATTCACTCACTCATTTTCATTCACTCCTTGCAGTGAACTGAATTAGTCCCCTAATGTAGGGAATAGTGAATGAGGGTATAGGGGGCTATTTCGGACACAGCCTATCTTTATGAATGGGTCATTGAATCACTGACTCACTAGATTTGTTCAAAAACGCAGATTCGTTCATAAACTAAACACCGCTGTGTTTGCCTGGAGATGCGCAGTGGCTCGACTGTATCTTTGTGTGGAACTATTTTCATTGACGAAATAGAGCACAATCAGACAACGGTGTTCCAAAATGTAAGTCACTTTTGTATAAAATCAAAAATATATAAAACTTGTATAAATTCAATATCACATTTGCCAACTCCCTTTATAATCATTCAGAAGCTGTCACTCGTCTTAGTTCATCGCAATCTCGCTAGCTTCCGTTATAATTAATGAAGCTCTCTACACTGCACACTGAATCTATTATTTACACTTTGTTTGTTATAATGAGAGGATCTGAGTTTAAAAGGTAACATTACATTCTCCAGGACTTTACACTTACATTTCTTTATAGGCTACTTCCAAAAAATTACAAAATTAAAAAATTAGGAACACCTTCTGATCAATGAAAGAAATTAACCAGTGAAGGCAATGTAAGGCGATATTTGACTCTGTAAAGTGTAAAGTTTAACTTTAACAAGTTTTTTTTTCTAGCTTTATTAAATGTATGTCATCTTTTGTGTCAAAAAAATATATATATTTATAAACTTTTATCAAAACTCAAATTAAAACAATAAATTCAATTAAAATAATAATATTCAATCAGGAAGAATACGTTAACAGTCAAATGAAATCAGCATCAACAATTTATCTTTTCACTAGGAGGTGCACAGAAGAACGCAAATTAAGGAATATTTACAGACTTAAATGAGACTCAGAGGTGAATATATTTAAATGAGATATGAGTTATGAGGTTAATGTTTTAAATATAACGTTTTGAATGTAGAAATATTAAATGATTTAAATAACTCAATTTATACTTTAAAAACTAAACTGAAACCGCCAGTTTGTCACTGAATCATTCATTCAATCGATTCGTTCAAACGGCTGAATCATTTAGGAGCGAAGCAAGTGACTGTGGCTGTGTCCGAAATCGCCCCCTATACCCTTAAATAGGGCACTATTTGAGGGGACAGCCATTTTTATTGGTGTCTGAAACCATAGTGGACGTTCTCGAATGCACTCATTCAATCCCACAATGCACCGCAAAAACTAGTGTACAACTGGTGCATGCTCAACGGCTAGAGAATACCCATAATGCACTGTGAGAGTCACACGCCGAATGAATTCCCGCATCTCGCCAGAAGATGGCGCTCGCAGATGAATAATCAATTCGTTCATATTACAAAGTGCTCATCCATGGCGTACAGCATAATACAACACAGGTATAAATTCATTGTAAATTGATTATTAAATTGTTTAATTAGGGTTTGTACAGATTTTCCATGACAGAGTTCAAGATAAATCCTTTAATCTTACTACTGGAGCTCCCAGTTTGCCAGTTTCAAATGATTATTAAACAGCAAGCACCAACTATGCAAAAGCGGCAGTCCTTCCGGTGTACTCAGTGTCCGAATTCACTCACTCATTTTCATTCACTCCTTGCAGTGAACTGAATTAGTCCCCTAATGTAGGGAATAGTGAATGAGGGTATAGGGGGCTATTTCGGACACAGCCTATCTTTATGAATGGGTCATTGAATCACTGACTCACTAGATTTGTTCAAAAACGCAGATTCGTTCAAACTAAACACCGCTGTGTTTGCCTGGAGATGCGCAGTGGCTCGACTGTATCTTTGTTTGGAACTATTTTCATTGACGAAATAGAGCACAATCAGACAACGGTGTTCCAAAATGTAAGTCACTTTTGTATAAAATCAAAAATATATAAAACTTGTATAAATTCAATATCACATTTGCCAACTCCCTTTATAATCATTCAGAAGCTGTCACTCGTCTTAGTTCATCGCAATCTCGCTAGCTTCCGTTATAATTAATGAAGCTCTCTACACTGCACACTGAATCTATTATTTACACTTTGTTTGTTATAATGAGAGGATCTGAGCTCGAATGACTCCGCACTGAACAAAAACTGCATTCTGCTTTCACGATCTGTTCTGTGAGGAGCAGAACGCGCAGCGATAGAGAAGCATTCAGGTATTATGTCCAATCACAAAAGACGGCATTACGCATCTATCCATAGTCACTAATATCCCGCTACATTTATGTGCAGAACTGGGATCGCTTTCATAGTCTTTTGAAAGGATAAAATATAGAAATCCCTTTGATTTCCAAAAAAACCTAAAGGTTGGAACTGGAACGCCACCCCCCTCGAAATTCACTCCCTGGACTCCGTCCCCCTGCGTTCCCCCCATTTCCAGCCCTGCCCTTATGTCATTCCAAACCAACTTTCTTGTGCAGAACACAATAGCAGATATTTTAAATAATATTTTTGCCCATACAGTGAAAGTCAATAGGGTTCAAAACAGCAGCGGACCACATTGGCTTTTCTTCTTTTTTTTATCAAAAACAATAAATAGAAAATTGTGTTCAACAGAAGAAAGTCAGTTTTGGAAAAGCATGAGGTTGAGTAAATTATGAGATTTTTGAGTGAAAGAGTGCATTTTTTGGGGATTTGATTTGGTCATTCTAATGGTGCAGCAATTCCACATTTCACCTCTGACCTCACTCTCTTCTCATTGTGATGGTTCATGCGGACAGCAGCCTGCTGTTTCGGAAGGATCATGTTCTCCAGGATCTCTGAGCTGCGGAGTTTCTCTTGTCGGTACGTGCTCTCCATGTTCCGGTGCTGCTCCAGCAGAGAATCATATTTTTGTTTCAGAAGTCGGTTCCTAGTCTGCACCTCTGCCACGCGTTCCTGAAGCACGCTGTGCTCTGACGCCAAAACACTGAGATGGTTTTGGACCTCATACAGCCTAAAAAAACAAAACAAAAAAATCATTACATACTGTACATGCAACGATCCAACTTTTCCAACATTTTGGATATTCAGGAAATCAATTAGCAACATTATACATTCCACAGCCTACATCCAGGCCAAGCTGAAAGTCTACAGCTATAAAAAGGAATAGTTAATGGAAATTCTGTATTTAATTAAATTTTCATCTAAAGAATGGAAAGAGATGAATGGGAGAATGTCCCAGGTCTTTTTTTTCTATACAATGAAAGTAGTATCTTTCACCTGAATCCATATGTTAGAGCTTTGTGACCAAAACTTACGATATTATTCATTAAAGGGATAATATGATGCGATTTCAATTTTCCCTTTCTCTTTGGAGTGTTACAAGCTTTTGGTGCATAAAGAAGATCTGTAAAGTTGCAAAGACTAAAGTCTCAAATCCAAAGATATATTCTTTATAAAAGTTAAGAGTCAGCCACGTTTATATATGTATACATATAATTTATCTGCATCAAACTGACTTAAAGGTAGAACTTGCTCTGCACGTTTTCACTTTTTACAGTCTAACATTAAAGGATTTTATGACTCAGAGTAAAGGTTACCTTGACCCTGATCCCAGAATGCCTTTGGTTATGAGGGCTCTTTGCTTGGACTTTTCCAGCAGACTGTAATCTAGAAGAAGAACAATAAGACAAACTACAGCGTTTGAAAAGAGGCCAGCCGATGTCTACATTCACTCCAAGTGTGTTTGTTAATAAGACTTTGTTACTTGCACTTAAGTGTCAAGATTCACAGTAGGAGTGAGAACTTGCACGACTCTGAATTTTGTTTATATCGGACTTAAAATATGCAAATGAGACCACCTTTAGTCACATTTTTATATTCTGTTCTCCATAATTTAACTGAAATTCTTTCTATTTTGTGTATAATATTAATAAGCCATAAATATTTTATAATAATTAATTGTATTATATTGTATCTTTAGGTACTTAATCATATATAGAAATTGTATTTAATCAACCATAACCAGTGTTGGGGGTAATATATTACAAGTAACGCGAGTTACGTAATCAGATTACTTTTTTCAAGTAACTAGTAAAGTAACGCATTACTTTTTAATTTACAAGAGAATATCTGAGTTACTTTTTCAGATAAGTAACGCAAGTTACTTTTTTTTTTCAATTTATTGACCAACAGCTCTCCCGTCCCCATGTTGAGAGAAATCAGAAGATGTTACTGTAGCTCTAAAATAAATACGAATATGCATTAATTCATCTCACTCACACAAAAACACACAGATTCAGTATTCCTCAAAATGAATAAAAATAATGCAACTCAGAATATGACGCGAACCTGCAATAATTAAACATCATTTATGTATTTAATCCCATTCTATTAACCAATGCTTTCGATGATCCAGTTCAAGCGTACTAATAAGCACAACTTACTCTAGACAAACATTTGCGTGTCTTTGTTTATTGCTGAAGTGTGTTGAAATTTCTTCTGCATTCTACTGTACTTTTCCTTCAGCCTGAGGCTTATTCATTTCACTTCTGGTGTGAAAAGGCTTTTATATTTGCCAAAAATATAACTTTTTCATTTTAAAAACAAACAAGCAAGCCCTGTCCAGATTTTAAAAGTAACGCAAAAGTAACGTAACGCATAAAAAGTACCTAAGTAACGTAATTAGTTACGTTTTTATAGAGTAGCGCAATATTGTAATGCATTACTTTTAAAAGTAACTTTCCCCAACACTGACTATAACGGCAATAGATTTATAAACTGCATCCAAAACAACAGATTCTTCTTATTTTGCATGATAAAAAGTTGCACTGCATGGCCTAAAAAGTTCAATCATAAAACCATGTCTTTAAAAGAAAAGCTTACATGACTCTATAATATCCTGGAAGACGCTCGTCTGGGTCCTGTTGCGATATTTCAGCTGTCTGATAATGTGACGCTTCCATGTTTCGCTCGGTTTAAGTTCAGAGTTCCTCGCGCGCTGCGACGCCGCCATAATCATAAATAATCATATTAAAACAACAACAATAATCTACTTTCTTAGACATAGTTCATGGATGTACGCCCCGTCATCGGACACTATAAGTATGTTTTCCATTCCTGTGAAGCGCACAGGAAAGCGGCAGAAAGTGGGTTGAGGCGTATGGCAAGCCGTTTTAGCATTAAATACTCCTTGCTGTACTAGTCATAATTTAGTTTTGACTAGTCAAAATTCCAATTCCAGATATCTATTCTGCAATTTTGACTCGTTGTAATTGGAATTAAGATATCTACAATGTGATTATGACTAGTCATTATATGCATTGAAGATATCTACAATGTTATTTTGACTAGTCATAATATACATTGGAGAGATCTACAATGCTATTACGACTAGTCGTATTGTTCCATTGACTTCCATTGGAAAATATTTTCGGATATCTACAAAAGAGTTTTGACTAGTAGAAATTGTAATTAAAGATATCTATAATTGATTTTGTACTAGGCATAATTCTAATTAGAGATATCTCAAATTACAATTCTACTAGTGATAATTAAATTAGAGATATCTCTAACTGAATTAACACTAGTCAAAATTATAATTCAAGATATCTCTAACTGGTGTTTGACTAGTCATAATTATATTGCAGATATCTTTAATTCATGATTTCTTAAAGATATCCAAAATACATTTGTAGATATCTGAAAGTAATTTATTACTAGTCAAATTACAGTTGTAGATATCTTGAATTGGATTTTTGACTAGGCAAAACTTAATAAGAGATATCTTGAATTGGAATTCTTCCTAGTCAAAACTCATTTAAAGATACCTGCAATTTAATTATGGATATCTCAATCTGATTTATGACTAGGAAGATCTTTCTTTGGAGATATCTGCATTTAGCTTTGTGACTAGGAAGAATTTCAATGTAGATATCTGGAATTAACAATGTGACTAGTCAAAATTCCTTTATAGATATCTAAAATGTGCATGCAAATGCACCTTTGTTAAGCCCCACCTTAAACATTTTATTAACCAATCCTACCTTGGAAACTGTTGTCATCCGCCATTTTGTCTAAGAGTTGTATAATAAAAGTCCTGCGTCTTTGGGTCATTTTAAACTGTTTTATACAGAAGTAATTCAAAAGTATGGAAATAAAAATGTAGCTCGAGCATGTGTAAAAGTGGTAGACTACACAGAGAGGACTCAGACAGGCTTTTGTCCTATTCTATATCGTAATGTTGAGACGTGCGTGCTGTGGATTAAATTGTGTTAG